ATCTACAACATCTTGTACCAAGGTCTTGTCCACGATGATGCCAACACCGTTTTCTCGTTCTATTTGTGCCCGAATACCAAAGTTTAAACCCTGAGTTTTCTAGATCCTTTGCCTTACTACCAACCCACTTAGTTTCTTGTAGGCACATAATATTTATCCTTCTCCTCACCATAACTTCCACTACTTCCATAGATTTTCCCGTTAAGGTTCCTATATTCCACGTTCCTAAACGCATTTTGCTCTCTTGAACTCTACCCTTCTGTCCTAGCTTCTTCACCCTCCCCCGTCTAATAGGATCAAAGTACTTCTTTTGTGTGTCCCGGGTAAAGTTGATAGGAGCATATGCTCCCAAACAACTTTGAGTGGAGTCGTTCGAAAAGAAGTTTCTATGGCCCCCTTGCTCATTTAACACTGCATCCGGGTGCCGATGGAGATACAGCGACCCTTGCTCACTTATCACTGTGCTCGGGCCACACAGCGCGCCACTTACGGGTGACGCCCTAGCTTTAGCGCGATTTTGTTCTGGATTCATTTTCATAAGGATTCGACGTGATCATGGAGTGCCGGCTGTCGACTACCTGACGCCCTCCCCCTCCTCCTTTATCCGGGCTTGGGACCGGCCATGTAAGACATAGGCGGAGTTAATATCACTTGATAAATAAACCGAAAAAAACAAATTAACAGATAAGCATACGTCGAGTGTAAATGAGGATGTGTTCAAGTTACACGATGCACCGCTACAGCTGAAAAAGGATTTGGTTGATTCCAATACATGTATAGCACCAAATTTTCGGTCGAGGCCCTGCAAAGCAGACAAGACAATGACAAAATGCAAGAGATAATGGAAATTATGAGATGAAACTATGTAAGTCAGTCCTCTCGGTCCTCATAGATGCTTACTGTATTCCTAAATAAGCACGAATTTGCATATTATAGAAACAAACGATATATGCTAGTGCAAAATGTGGCATAAAAAATGGAAGGAATTTTAAAATCTTTTCAGCTCACTGCTCCTGGAATTGCAACTTTAGGGAAGCCGCAATGTTGTACTAGTTATTGCAGAGAAGGACTAAGAAGTATTCATCTTTCAAAAATTTGAATTGTTCGTAAAAAAACTCAAGAATATCAATCTTGTAGGTCTCCAATCGACATTAGAATAATGGCATAATTGCCACCGACCTTTATACCAAAATAGTTCCTAGTCTTCTCTAAAAGCAGGTTTGTCATTCAAACAATCAAATGGATGGGTATTTGTCAGGGTGGGTCATTGGGTTTAAGGGAATCCTTGACCTCTTGTTGATAACTCACAACTTCTGATTTGCAACGTTCAGAATATCAGGTAGGTACATTTTTTATATTGGAAAAATAGAGATCGTTGAAACAATATAAAAGAAAGACAAACAAACCTCAAGCATGAAAGAGAGGTTGTTCTTCACAGCCATATGAGATGACACTAACTGCTTGGCAGGAGGCAAAAAGGACCAGGCCAGCCCCCATCGAGAAGTTTGGCCTTGGACAAATTCAGTTGTCTTTACCATGGTGACTCCAACTTCCCAAAGCTTTGATGTTAGGATTTTGACATTCAGTTTCCTACCAACCATTGATGTGTACCACCTGCAAGTCAATGGAGAGACATAAGAGCTAAGTTTCTGAGAAGATTACCCTGAGACAGAAGAGATTTGGAAAGAACATAATGGGTAATAAAGAACATTACCGAAAAGTATGCTTCAATGTGACGCTATCTTCAATAATGCGAGTGATGAAAGCCTTTTCTCCACCAGGACAAACCATCTCGGTTGGGGTCCCACCACATGCAGTTTTTGGATTTAGTCCTGCTTCCTCCATGGTCTCGAAAAATGGAGGGTTACACATGCAGAAGTCAAACTCCTCACCATCCTTAACCACACCAAGGAGAATAGGTGGCCCGTGATATGTGGATGAAGAGGAGGGCAAAGTCACTGCTTCACTTTCCATATTCTCAGTCAATTCTATTTTTCTTTCAGTACCATCCAACATCCCATTTGGCGATCCTTCCAGGGGAAGGGTCTCTTTAACACTTTCAACCTTTCTAATTTCAATAAGTTCCGCAATATGTGGATTATCTCTAACATTTTTTTCTGCCCACTCTAGTGCTACATCACTCACATCTACAACCAAGGTCGGTGAAAATGAAGCTTTGTTAGGTTGTAAAGTATTGATGTATTCAAAAAACCAAGTATGAAAACGCTAACTAAAACAACTAATAAGCAACCTGACCCAACAAAGCTCCAACCCAGAAGAGAAGCACCAAGAAGCGGATATATGCAGTTTGCTCCAGTTCCAATATCAAAGCCCCTAACTTTATCACCATTGCTTGTAGTCTTCACAATGATGTCAGATGAGAGAAGATCTTCAATCCAATGAATGTAATTCGATCTATTGGGCACAGTAGGGCACAGCTGCCCATCTGGAATCCACCTGGGAAATCAAATTCACATTGAACGTCCTACATTATGAACCCCCATGAAAATGCTTCTTCATTAACTGAATAGACTTCAGGAATCAAGGATTCAACTGGGTTTACACACCGTAACAAAAAGGCGAGACTTGAGAGGGAACTATACAATGAGTTAGGAGTTATAATAAGCTGGGACTTGGAGATATAAAAGCTAAAGCCGCAAGAGCTTTATCACATTACTAAGCTAAGTATAATTGTGTCCTCAATGTAACATTAAACCTACGATTTTATCTGCGTAACGAAGATGGTACCAAGATTAGGAACCTTTTTAATTTGATCGTCCAAGTAAACCTCACAGGCTGCAATGTTTCATACTTTCATGCCTACTGGGATCCTAGTAAAACTTTTGAAGCTAATTAAGGTGGCATGGTTATAAATTCAGTGACAGAATCAGAAGTTTTCGACACAGCCGCTATACAAAACAAGTAAACCAAAGAATATTCAGCTAAAACAAGCAACTGGGTAACCTCAAAAATCGAAAAAGATACAAACTTTCAAGTCAAAACCCCTGTATTCCAAGTTCTATGAGCTGCCCAATTAAGCAAATGCAGAATTGGATGAGAAAAAATTACCAATTGAGGCGGTGGTCGTGGAGGAGGAGGACCCGAGTTAGTTCCCGGGTGGCGTTGAAGTCGGTCCAGTCAACTCTGGGCCGACCGTCTCGGGAGAAGAAGACGAAGGGCTCGAAAGAGGGGTACAAAGAAGCCAAGTGAGCGAAGTCGGGTGGGTTCTCGGAGTATTTGTTTCTCAGGTGGGTCGCAGGTCGCTCCTCCTTTCTCTTCCTCTTGTTATTTTTGTTCATCGACATTTGAGAGTGAATTATGCTCCAGTGATTTTGCGTTCTAATACTTGTGGATTAGCCAGCTGAAATTTGGGCTTACCCATCACCCACATTTTTGCTTGCGACTTTGAAGGCCCATGAGCTGAGTTACATTTTCTTGCTCTATTTTCAGGACGACGAAAAAATCCATTGCTAAAACATAAGAATCAAACTGTGTAGAAACTAACCACCACAAAGTGGTTTAGTGGTTAAAAACGAATGTAAGCATATATTTCACACGACACGTCCTGAGTGTGATTCATATCGTTGGTGAATCGCACGATGGTGGCTAAAGAGAAGTTGATATGCCTATGTGAGTATTCCCGGTTTCCGAAATAATGGATTGTCATGACGAAACCACCAACTGGTCCCTTTTTAAGAAAAAAAAATTGTACAGAAACTATCAAACCCTTCAAGAAACTCTCATAGTTTGGAAAATTGTTTTGATATACAATCTCACTACCAATAAACAAGACAACAAATATAAATGAAAAGCACCGAATATCTTGTCCAAACAGGGGACATGCCTTAATATTATTACATAGGGTAATTAGTCACAATAAAGATGTTTTGGCATTTGGATGCACTTTTGATCACACTTTCTAAAATTGTTCTTTTAATCAAATTTGCTTGTGAGAAGTGCATATTGTTCTTCGTTAATCAGAAAAAGAACAAAAACACATCGTCGTTCTAACGACACTCTCCCTTTTTGCTGCGTTTGTTCCCTTTCTAAAAAATTGCACGCAAGTTTTTACAATATAAAGGACGCTATGGACTTTTCAAAGGCATAATTGACGAAATCATCATCAATTTTTAGAAAGTGTGATCAAAAGTGCATCTAAATGTCAAAATATGTATATTATGGCTAATTGCTCCATTATATATTGACTTTGCTTTATAATTTTTGTCCTAGCTAGACAAGACCCAAATCATTGGGAATATTTTTTACTCACTGCTCTGATAATGCTCACCACTCATCCTATTTATCATCGTCAGATGAATTTAAAATTCGAGATTTGTGCAGTGGATAGACACAAATTTTAAAATTTAAACACATTCAACGATGATAAAGAGAATAGTGAGCATTACTATCACTTAAGGACAGTGAGCAAAAACACAACCTAAATCATTTATGAGAAACAAAAGTTTGACACACAAATGGTTGATGAAAAGCTCCCCACAATAGTTGCCCAAATGTTCTTATCAATATGGTGTCTCGTGCATGCCTTTTTTTTTTTGTCGAATTTCATGCATGTTTAATGAACTTATACATTCAAAAATAGAGAGACAATATAGGACTAGTGTGACGACACGTCCCTAGTTTTACAATTTTATTAATTTTAAAAGAATGAATTTATGAAAATGCCCTTATAGGCGATGATGTTGACCTTGGTTGACCAACGTGTTGTGAAATATTATTTTAGTGAATCATCCTAGTGCTCGTCACTGCAAACGCGTGGGTGCAAGCGGAATTGAATTTGGAGCTACGATGAAAATTTTATGGACTTACGAAGTTCAAGGGCATTTTGGAAGATTCATTATTCTAGATAAACATCCTTCATTATTTTATTAATTTTTATGTGTAGATTTTCTGCATGATGGGACCCACCCACGTGGGTCTCCAATCACCCTTGTCCCCACGTCCTCTCACTCCCACTCCCATTCCCACTCTCCTGAACCTTTTTCTGTTTCAAAAACATTTTTTCACTCTTTCTTTCTCTTATCTCCCCCGCACCCTCATCTATCTCGTTCTCCTTCCCATGAACCACCGAGACACCACCCCCACACAAACATCTCGCCACTCCGGCTAGCTCCATCATCGCTGCTAACTGGGTTGCTCTGAAGAGATATGCAAGTTTTTAGCCCAAAAACTAGGACTTCCACTATCAATGGCCACTGCCACTTTTTATCTTCCTTCTCCAGTGAGTTTTTGGATTTCCGACGATTGTAAGTTCCAAAAACCACCTCAAATTTTTGTGGATCGTGATGTGGTGTGTGATTCTAGTAATTTTATGGACTTTTGGTAATGTTTTGGCACAGAAACACCTCGGGTGTACTTTTCCAGATTTTCTGGAGAGAGCTAAACGGTTTCGAGCCGTTTTCCGGCAACGATTGAGGAAACCAAAGGTATATTTTGATTTCTTGTTCTTCGAGCTTTGATTTGATAAATTGGAAGGCTAGGTTTAGTGAAGAAATTAGGTGGTCGGAGTTGGGCTTTACTCAACTATTGCAGCGACAACCGGCCGGAGAAGAAGAAAAAGGGAAAAAAAAGAAAAAAAAAAGGGGGCCTTAAACCCAAAACCCGGCCCAAACCTTTGGGTCGTTGGCCAATGGCCCAAGCCCAGATTCGTGGGCCAGATCCGGCCTAGACCCATTTCTGAGTTAGGTTTGGAATATTCTTGGAATATTCCTTATGTTGGCATTTTCGAAAATTTCTCGGAAACCCTTCTAGGATAATTTCGATGCCCTAAGTCCATTTTTGGCATCCATTTTGTGAAATTCTAAAGTTTAATGTAATTGACCATCGAGGCGTCTCGGTTGACTTTTTAGGATTGACTGTTGACTTTTTGTAAAATTTGTCGGGGACCCTCCTTAGCGTATTTCGACGCCCCGATTCCAAATCCACACTCCGTTTTCCCAAATTTAATTATTTTAGTGGAGCTTTACTAATGAGTCCTAATATTATGCTTAGGTGCGATTATTATTGGTGACTTCAGCTATTCTAGTTTAAACGGGTTCGACTCGACAACATGATCTGAGACTGGGTCTTTACTTTTAAATATTATATATTTATTTAGTTTCCAATTATACATTTGAAAAAGACTTTCCTACACATGCCTAAATTAGACTAATGCTTATAAGAATTAGCGAAATAGGAAAAATTTCAAAATTATTAGAAATCCTCTAGGATGCATACGTATGCGCACTTTTATGGGGTTTTAATTACGGCCATGAGTAATATCTTATTTATTACTATTATGTTGACTAGAATTATTGAATTACTAAGGCATGACTATATTGATGTTATCAGCTTATCGTTTGCTGCACCAGTGTTGGTACTTTCTCGAACCAGGGCCAGTCTTTCACTTTGATGTGCACATCGCACCGTACACTCACTTTGGATCCATTGTAGGTGCCAGTCCTTTCATACAAGTTGCCATAGGCAACTCTGACTCGTATGTGTTGCGCATAGCGCCAGTCTTCACATGATTGTAGTACTAGAGCGTATATCATTGTTACACCCAGTCATGTTCATGTCAGAATACCTATGCATGAACTTGTGTGTTAGCATGTGTCAATGAGCACTCAATATAATATGTTTGCTTATGCGAGACTTTGTGATTATGGTCGTCATGCACTTATTTACGAGATATTGTGCCGTAATGAATTCTTGAGATATTGTAGGCTATAGTAAGTATTTTCTTACTATACGTAGTATGTATATTTTGGAAACTACACTTGTTTTACAGCGAGGGGTTATTATGTTTTCGAAAAAATTTGTACAAAACTTTATTTTTAGGCCCACTCACCCTTGTTTTTCGCCCCTCCAGGTTTTAGTAGCTGAGCTTTCTTGTCGACGAGGATTCTTAGCAAATCTTGGCATAAGTGGTTAAATTCTCATCCTACTCTGCTGTACTTATGCTTTCACATCATGTGTGAAATGGGTTCATTCCCGCTCACAAGCGCACTTTTAAATTAAGTACTTTTAGGTTTAAATTTATTCACATATTTCACTACACTACACTTTATGGTTTCGTCACCTTCTAGGTGTCGGCCAGCACAACTCGATTCGGAGTCCAAGTGGACATTCCGGGTCGGGGTGTGTCAACTAGACCGAAATTATTCTCAATTTTTTCGTCAAAGAAAATGAGATTTTATAGGACTAGACTAAATTTAATCTCAATCTTATTCCATACACTTTCTATTTGTATGATTGAACTATTAACTGGTGATCAAGAGATATTACTGGTATGGAATAATGTAGATTGAGATATTAATTAAGGTTGTGTGTCCACTTCCTTACATTCGAGTTCGCTAACTCTCACATAAATTAAAATGATTTAAATAGAATACCGATTATTGTCAAAAATTAAAAACTTGTTAAGAATGAACAAATTTCAGAACTCTCTCCATCACAATTCACTAAATTACATGAGGATGAACCATCTTGGGCCTTAAAACATACATTTTTTAATATTGCTACGCGTTCTTCATATCCAAAACTTTGGCCAATACAACACACAAAAATATTTAGAATTTTAGAGAATCCTGTATAGTGCATTGAAGAGAAGAGTTCAATGTTTTAACCTTTTTTTGGTCAAATCTCATGCATGTTTAATGAACTTATACATTCAAAAAATGGAGAGACAATATATGATTGGATCGAAATTAATCTCAATTATTTCATCGAAAAATGTGAGATTTTATAAGACAGTACTAAATTTAATCTCAATCTTATTTCATACACTTTCTATTTTATAGGACCGGGCTAAATTTTTGGATGAAATTACTGTGGAAATCATGGAATTCCATTTAAGAAACCCTAAAATGAAGTGACCTTCATCAGTTCACGTTTAGTGCAATTATATAGAACAAAATGGTTGTATTTCATTTAGGACTTATAGGTGTGACTCGTACAAGATTAGAGCCTCACCTGAAGTTATAATTATTTAAATTAATTAACAGTTAAATTGATAAATTGCTTGTAATTGCATCCTTGATGGGAGGATGAGTTGTAGTACACACACACACACACACACACACACACACACATATATATATATATATATATATGTATATATATATCACTGTGGTCTCTCTTCTCGGGTATGTATGATCTTTCATGCTAGAAACAGTCCCATTGAGTGTTCTTGGATCAGTTTCATAATCAAGAGAAGAGAAGACAAGTGATTAGCTTGCTATCAATGTCTTCTACTACAAGTAAGTAAACCCTTATTGTTTGTTGTCATTGTTGCATGCATGATACTGCAATAATTGCAGTAGTTATCATTTAATATTAAATTGTCAAGTTTTTGGCTTAGGGTGTGATTGTCAACGATCCTTATATATATTCATCATGTGTCATCAGAGCCACACAATTTAAACCATATCTAAACTCATACTTGTTTCAAGTATTCCGCTATGCAAAGTTGACATTTTTATAACCTCCTGATTCGTTGGTGACTGCATGCTAATACGATTAAGTTCAACACATTGACTGCTCAGATAACTGCTACATGTACTATGCATGCATGTATTTCTTAATTTTGTGTAAATTTGGATCTGTTATTTTTACTTGAGTTAACATGATGTGTTTAAAATATTATTCAAAAACAATATTCTTATCACTTTTTAGTAATGTGTCTAGTTTGCAATTGAATACGATTATGATAATAACTCTGTGAAATATGCATCTGCAAACATATCAGACAAATGAATTCTGAGACTAATTCAGTATAACACCAAAGTGTAGGACTAAATTATCATCTCAGGATATAAATTATCATCTTAGGATACGTAGTATCATGGATCATGGTGATATGCAAATATTAACAAGTTAAACACTTCCAAATAAGTAAGTTTGTTGGGTTCATTTGTATAATCAGTGTATAGGGAGTCATGAAAAACATGCTATTTGTGTACTCAAACTCACCCAAAGGTGAGATTTACATCTAGTATTGGATTTTTTTTTTTTCTTCATGATTTGGTAATGCAACAATTTTGGAACTCATAGTTATGTATAGTCAGTTTCTTGCCCAAAGGTGTAACTGAAACCATAATTGAAGTGTGACAAGATGTTAAGTATTCATTCTTGGTCATATATTTATGAGATCTTTTCCAAATTCCTTTTGATTTCAAACATGTTTCAATATGATGAGCCTGGTAAATATGGAGAAATTGAATGGCAACAATTTCAAAACATGGAAGCAGTAACTCGAGATGAATCTTGGCATGCTAGAGTTTAGTATTGCATGGGAACAGAGATGGAGATAAGCGCTAGCCAATGGTTAATACTTCATAAAACACCTTAGCAATTACCAGTAATGCCCGACCTCAGTCTTGTTTTTTGCTAGCTTAAGTCTAGAACTTTACTATCTCATTAATATTCAAAGTTCCTCAACCTGCAACCTTGACAGATGAAAGTACTACACAAGAAAATGAGCATTTCACAAAATGGGAAAGGGCAACCAAATGTCTTTGCTCATAATGCAGAATGCAATGGAAGAGCATGTGAGGGGAGGAATTCCTAGTTGTGACTTGGCTAAGAACTATTTGGACAAAATAGAGGAGAAGTTCAAAAGATCAGACAAGGTTGGGATTGGTATTTATCTATCAACATTGATAAACACTAAACATCATGGATAAACATGATGGATCAGGGAGTGTTTGTGAACACTTACTGAAATTGGTTAACATGGCCAACAAATTAAATGCCTTGGATATTGGTATCACTGATCATTTCCTTGTGCACATGGCTCTTTACTCACTGTCCAATGATTATGAGCAACTGAAAGTGAGCTATAACACTCAAAAGGAGATTTGGAGCATTAATGAATTGATAACCATCTGTTGTCAAAAGGAGAAAAGATTGAAGAAAATGAGGTCTCATACCAGTAAGTTTGCTAACTTTGTGCATGCTGGAAAAGGCAAGAGGAAAGTCATTGGTGTTAACAGAAATGAGATTTACAAAGGAAAGAAACTGCTTGCATTCAAAAAGTCAGTATCAACTGCTAGAACAACTTCTGGTTCCAAGAAGCACTGCAAATCCACTATGTTAACTATGAAGACAAATGCACTTTCTATTGCTTCTGGACCAAAGTACAATCAGAATAGTGTTAAAAATGTCATTTCTGTCATTCTGAAGATCACTTGAGGAAGGATTGTCCTGGCTTTAAAGCTTGGTTGATCAAGAAAGGTAAAACAACAATAAATGTTTTTGTGACAGTAGAGTCAAATATGATTTTTATTCCTCAGAATTCTTGGTGGTTTGACACAGATTGTTCTATGCATATAACAAATTCTTTGCAGGGATTTCAAAACCAGAAGAGAACAAGTAATGAGATCTACAATGTTTATGTTGGAAATGGGAATAAAGTTGCAGTTGAATATGTTGGTTCTGTCAAACTGAGATTGTCAACTGGATGTGTTTTAACTTTAAGTAATGTACTTTATTTCCTTCAATGAGAAGGAATTTGTTTTCTATTATACAATTTGTAAAATATGGTTTTTCATTTGTAGGGGCTATTAATCAAATTAAGTTTTATTTTCAAAATCAGTTTGACAATCTACTTGGTTATGCATTTCCAAATGGTGATCTTTGACAAGTTGAATGTTCTTGTCACCAGGAATGTCTCAGTGTTAAGCATTCTGCTTCAAAACGTATGTCCCTAAATGACAAGTCTTACATGCTTTGGCATCAAAGACTTGGACATATTTCGAGAGAAATGATGATAAGGTTAATTAAGAATGGAATATTGCCAAAGTTGAATACTAATGATACTGTGGAATGCATTAACTATTTCAAAGGGAAAACTAACACCTCAACAAACAAGTGTGCAACAACAAGAAGCAATGATCTCTTAGGGATCATACATACAAATGTATGTGGACCATTTCCAACAAGAACCATTTGTGGAAATTCATACTTTGTTCTCATCATTGATGGCTTTTCAAGATATACCTTTAGATATTTAATTTCTGAGAAGTCCCAATTTTTAACTTGTTTTAAGAATTTCAAATTAGAAGTTGAAAAACAATTGGAAAAATCAATTAAGATTGTGAGGTCTGATGGTAGAGATGAATATTATGGAAGGTACACAGAGAAAGGACAACAAAAGGGTCCATTTGCCATATTTCTGGAACAAGAAGGAATTGCAACATAGTATACAACTCCTGGGACACCATCACATAATGGTGTTGTTGAAACAAGAAATAGAACACTGAAGGAAATGGTCAGAAGCATGTTTTCTCATTGCCAGCTTCTAGAATTTCTTTAGGGAGAGGTAGTGAAAATAGCTAATTACATTGGAATAGGGTTCCAACAAAAGCAGTGGCATCAACACCATTCAAATTATGAACAGGTAGGAAGCCTAGTTTATCTTATTTTCACACTGGGGGATGCAGGTGTGAAGCTAGACTTTACAATCCAACTGAAAGAAAATTGGACATAAGAACCACTAGTTGTTATTTTGTGAGTTATGCATAAAGGTCCAAAGGCTTCAAGTTTTACAGTCCTAATACATTTACTAGGAAAGTGAAGAGTAACAATGCCAAATTCATTGAAGATTGCAGTGATGTGCATTCTTATTCCAAAACTTCATATGTGTTTGAAGAGAAATGAAGAACCTCCTATCACTGAGAGTGAGTTGACTAAAAATGCCATTATGAATGTTTTGATACCTATGCCAATGGTGAGTTCACAAACAGGGAATATTGCACGTGTGCCTTCTTCATCAAGTCATACAGTGCAAGATGTTGTTACAAATCCATTGCAGCACGATTTTCATGATCATACATTACAACAATCCCTTTTTGTATCAATTTCCAATTCTTCTCAACGAGTACCTGCACCTGCATCCATTTTAGCACATGTGCTAGAGACTTTACCAATTCAAACAAGAAAGTCTAGTAGGCCTAAGAGGTCTATTATTCCCAGTGATTATCTATGTTACTTGCAGGAAGTAGAATTTGACATTGGTGATCATGATGATCCAACCACATACCAAGTAGCAATGGAGAGTTCAAAGTCTTCACAATGGCAAGCTGCCAAGGAGGATGAATTGGAATCAATGCACAAGAACAATTTTTGGACATTGGTTATGCCTGCAACAACTGCTAAACCTATTTGATGTAAATGGGTGTATAAGACTAAAAGAGATTCACAGGGAAGGATTGAGAGACATAAAGCAAGGTTGGTGGCAAAGGTTTTTACACAAAAGGAGGGTCTATATTATAATGAAACATTCTCTCCACTTTCAACCAAAGATTCATTTCGAGTGATCATGGCACTCATTGCTCACTTTGATCTTAAATTGCACCAGATGGATGTTAAAACAGCTTCTTAAATGGTGGTATTGATGAAGAGATATATATGAAACAACCAAGTGGATTCATTGAAAGGGGGAAGGAAGATATGGTTTGTAAACTTAACAAATCAATATATGGACTCAAACATGCCTCTAGACAATGGTATAAAAAGTTCGTTTTGTAGAGAACAAGATTGACAACTGCATTTACTTCAAAATGGTAAAGTCTACTTTTATCTTTATGGTTTTCTATGTGGATGACATTTTACTTGCCAGTTCTAACGTTCATTTGCTTAAAGAAACCAAAAGCATGCTTTCCAGTAGCTTTGACATGAAAGATTTGGGTGAAGCACACTATGTTTTAGGCATTGAGATTGCTAGAAATCGGTCTAAAAAATGGTTAGGCTTGTCACAGAGAGCCTACATTGATAAGGTTCTCAAAAGGTTTAACATGGAGAATTGTAGTGGTGGAGATTTACCACTTGGCAAAGGTGATAAGTTGTTGTTTGTACCATACTTGACTAATCCCGAAACTACCGAGCACCAGTCAATGTTATATTGTCAAGGACCCAGAAAAGTTTCCTTTAACCAGGAGGCCAATCACAGCGCGACATGTGTCGACATCAGAAGCCAATCATAGTGCGACACGTGTCAACATCAGAGGCCAATCACAATACGACACATGTCAATGTCAGAACAAAGCTAGAAACTCTCTTCTATAAAAGGAGTTCATTCTCCCACAATATTTCCTAATGTCATTTGTACTAAATCATTCACTAGTACTCACTAAAGGAGAGCTTGAACCTATGTACTTGTGTAAACCCTTCACAATTAATGAGAACTCCTATACTCCGTGGACTTAGCCAATCTGGGTGAACCACGTACATCTTGTGTTTGCTTCCCTGTCTCTATCCATTTATATACTTATCCACACTAGTGACCGGACCAATCTAGTGAAGGTCACAAACTTGACACTTTCTGTTGTACCAAAGTCCTTGCTGATTTTGTGCATTAACAATTGTCATTATCTTAGTATCCTATAACTGACTATGAAGTGCAGACAATGAAGGATAAGCCTTATGCTTCCTTAATTGGCAGTGTGATGTATGCACAGGTTTGTACCAGGCCTGATTTGTCTTTTATGTTAAGTGTCTTTGGAAGATTTCAATCGAATATAGGGTTGGCTCACTGGTATACAGGGAAAAAAAGTGTTGAGATACATGAAAATGACTCAGTTGTATGTGTTGTGCTATCATCATGTAGACAATCTGGAACTCGTATGTTATACTGATGCAGACTTAGGTGGATGTATAGATGACAGAATATCTACCAATGGCTATATTTTTCTAATGTGTGGTGGTGCTGTCTCATAGAGGAACAAACAAACTACAAGAGCAATATCCACTATGAAGTCTGAATATATTGGTTGTTTTGAGGCAATGAAATAGTGTAACTGGATAAAAAAAAAAAAACTTAATTTATGAGATAAAGATTGTGAGAAGCATTGAAAGACCACTCAAGCTTTACTGTGATAAACACATCTGCAGTATTCTTTGCTAAAAACAACAAGAGATCAGAGGCATCAAGACTTATGGATATTAAGTATTTGAAAGTTCAAGATAAAGTTAGAGAGGGTGTGATTGACATTCAACATATCAGCACATATGACATGGTTACAGATCCAATGACAAAGGCTTTGAATGTTACAATCTTCACTAAACATGTACAGAAAATGGGTTTGCAGTCAACATTTGATGTTCTTTAAATGTAGGAGTAAGCTACACAAATCTGTATGTATTGTCAGCCATCAGTAAAGTAATAATGTTAATACATGTGTTGTAATGTTAAAGATTAATGTTCTTAACATGCTTAATGATTATTCAAGTATTCAAGGTATCTACAGTACCTTGTGACCAAAGAAATGTGGGAGTATTTGACTTGCATGCAATCATGTCCCAAGAATTTTTTTCTCTCGAATACAACATAGATATATTGAAGGTTAATCAGTTTGTGGTTTTAGAGTTCTGATATTGTATCCAATGTTGAATAGCTCTAAAACTCAACTAGTGAATTTTCAATATATAGTTGTTAAAGTCATTGAGAAAATACAATCAGCGATCACATTTGTATGTATATTAGCAATTAAGTTTAGTGCAATTATATAGAACAAAATGTTTGTATTTCATTTAGGACTTATATGTGTGACTCGTACAGGATCAGAGCCTCACTTGAAGTTATAATTATTTAAATTAATTAGCAGTTAAATTGATAAAATGCTTGTAACTGCATCCATGATGGGAGGATGAGTTGCAGTACATATATATATCACTTTGGCCTCTCTTCTCGGGTATGTATGATCTTTCACGCTATAAACAGTCCCATTGAGTGTTCAATTTCGTAATCAAGAGAAGAGAAGACAAGTGATTAACTTGCTATCAATATCTTCTACTACAGGTAAGTAAACCCCTATTGTTTGTTGTCATTGTTGCATGCATGATACTGCAATAATTGCAGTAGTTATCATTTAATGTTAAATTGTCAAGTTTTTGGCTAAGGGTTTGATTGTTAACAATCCTTATATATATTCATCATTCCAAAGTTTTTAGACTTACCACTTAGTACTATAGTCTAATAGTATTTCTCTTCACTTGTAAGTGAAAGGTCTTTGTTTCGATTCTCTCCAATAGCGAATTTTGATCCACACTATTGCTTGCCCATTGTGAGGTTAAGCCCACCTCTTCCTCCTTGGTGTGGATAACATCATTTGTTAAAAAAAAAAAAAATAGACTATGGATTGTGTTCAATGTCACCTACTCAAGACTTTTACATAAGATTAAGGGGTGAACAAGAAACTATTGAGCTGAAATTCATGTGCTAAAAAAATTGTAAGCGGAGAACTTTGAAGTCTCAAGTGTCATATGAGAGATTCCTTCATTACACAGCTAACGAACAGAAATGAATCGAACTCTATGCCCCATATACTGTAAACAAAACAAAACCATACAATGCAGCATCCAATGAATCGAACTTCTTTACACTGCTGTACAGCTGAAACCTAGGCCAAACATCCACAAATATACATATTTCATCAAGTGGCTGCAGAAGAAGGACAATATTAATTAGATTATTTAGTGATAATTTGTAATCTCCCAATATAAGCTAAGATTAAGATGTGTACAATGCAATGTTGCTGTTCATGGAGTCCAAAAACAGTTTGGTATCTTGTATACTCCTGATAAATCATCCAACA